ATTTGTTAGCGTCTCATTTTATTTGTTTAGGTAGTTTTATTTTGTTCCGAATAACAACGTATAATAGTTATTAATTAATTATTAACTGTTATATATAATTAAACATTATATATATATATATATAAACATTTTCATGCACGCAATGAAAATATTCATACGTGCTGGCGATAATATAAACACAGCGAACCGTGTATTAAGCAATTGATAAAGTGTATCACAAAGAATAAAAAAAAAATATTTAGATAGTTAATAAGGTGGTACAGACAATGAAAATGTATAATACATAGACTTGACTACAGGTAGCCTTTCGAAATGTTAGCTTTGAAAATGTATTTTGTTTGACGATTAACAACTTGGTCAGTAATAAGGATGTATTAGTTTTGAAATTTCACACAGCCTAGTAACAGTTTTCAAGGGCATTCTAAATATTTATTGGACCATTTCATCGATAGGGCGCGCTGTAGGCCAATTGCAACTCAAACATATAAATATGTTTTGATGATTACTGCGTTGTAACGTAGTTAGGTTGTGGAAGGTTATTTGTGATAATACTAAGTATTTAGTATCTTGCCGTTGATCTGAAAAGTAAAATTTGTATTTTAAAGTGTAACCAACATTTTCAGAACACGTTATAATATAAAACTATAAGCATGCTTTCTAGACAAGTTTTGCGGCCTTCCGTCTACTGGGTATTTTCACGGAAAGTTCCTCTTGCAGGGGTTGCTACAGCAGCAATACCACAACCGATAACTCACCCAGAAGTGCAGTATACAAAAGTAAGCCTCATGTTGTTTTTTCAAAGCTTGATAATATTTATTAAGGATAGTTTCATATAATATTAGACCATACAGAATTGAGGAAAAACAAGACAGTTGTACGTTTCACAAATACATCAATTATTACGACCGTGATTTCGTCAGTAATTTGAGTAAAGGCCTTTGGCTTTAGGCATTAGTTTTACTGGCGAAATCATGGTCGTAATATTAATAATTAATAAATGATGTATTGGTGAAAATTTGAAATGTACAATTTTCTTGTTTTTCCTCAATTCTGTAATTATGGAGTTTCACTAAGTACCGACGGTTTCAAGTATCAGTTATATTAGTATTAGGCAGTACTTTTACGTATATCAGTATTAGTTTTTAATAACATAAAATTAAAAGCTATTCGACCCATCGAGATAAGACTAAAAGTAAGAGCCCATCCTATCGTGAAAATCATTATATCATTTATCATTACCAGTCATCTTTGTTTGAGGTGCCAAAAATTTTTCTTCACTGGATCACTGCAGATGATGACCATGAACTTTGATAAGGCCAATGTCCAGGCTTGAGCTTGTTGGTGAGTACATCATTCCCGAGATATAGTTTTTTGCTTACTTTTGCAAATATTGATCATACTCTTCTATAGTGAGCACCACAAAACAAGTTTTCAAAGGCTTGATGTGACCTGCAGAACCACCTGTTGAGAATCTGTGATCTATGTTAGCACTGGTTGTAACTTAAAGTCCTAAATACAAAAGCAGTAGGATTTTAAATGAATGTTCCATAGTTGTGTTCTTGGGGAAAGTCGATCATCCTTCCTTCCAAATGTAACATTCACAGAAGTTATTTGTAACTTTTTAATTTGTCTCTGTTCACAGATATCATTAATCTCATGGCAGTAATTTTTGATGGACAAATCTGAGTGTTGTAAAGAAGTAATATGTGCCTATTCATGTGTTTCACTCTAAGCCTTTTCACTCTGTAAACATAGGTGACCTCATGAACTAAATATGAAATACACTGAGTATGATTTTTATGTTACTCTCATCGAAGATAACAAGTGATATATATATAAAAATGTGTGAGTGACATTCTGCTTATTCATGTAACACAAAACATCATCATTTACAAAAACAAATTACTAGAAAATGTCATTCAAAAATTTAAAAGCCTTATAAAAAAAAATTAAATAAATAGATTATTAGTTTCTCAAAAATCTTTCTCTGATAATTTTAAAATTATTAGGTTTTAGTAGTTCCTTACACGGTTTCTTCAAGAATTTTGTGTAGTAGGCCACATTAGGAACAAGAACGCAAAGCTTTAGGAGTTAAAAAGATATATATTCAGCTCCTTTATACTGTTAAAAATTGAATAACATGTATTGCATAACCAATTATCTCGTGAATGGTATTTTTTTTAAGGTACGTACCTGGATTGATATTTTCATAAAATAATAGAGCTTGCATCAAGTACTTGTTTTCAAATAGAGCTAATATTAAATATAAGAAAGTTGTATGTTTACAAATTCTTTTTATAAAGTAGTTAACATGTACCACTATTTTGTTTAGATATTTATAGATAACGAATGGCACAATTCTGCATCGGGAAAGACTTTTCCAACCATCAACCCAGCTACAGGAGAAGTTATTACCCATGTACAAGAAGGTGAAAAGGTATTCAATGAAGTGGTTTTTGTTATTTAGTACTTTTATTGCTTAAAAAATTAATAAATCAATATATTTGTTTAAAATGCTAATGTTTAAATTCTGTATCTTTCAATATAAGTTGTTTTTTTTTTAGAAATAACATCACATTTCTTTTTTCTTTAGTGATATCTGTGGAACTTAAAAAGTATGAATTCTATTTCAGAAGTTTATAATACCAGGACAATTGTTATGGGCATTTATTATTGGAAAATGTAGTGATTTTCAGAAACAAATGTTTAATTTCTGTTGTTAACATGAACATACATGTTGTAATGTTCAGTTCCATTGGATTTGATGTATCAGAAACAATTCTGTTTTATCACTGAATGTTAAGATAACTTAAAAAATGCAGCTCCAATACAATATTGGGGCTGTTTTTTTGGGGTTTTTTCTTTAACTGATAATATGTAAAGATGAAAGTGAGTAGAACACAATTAATACCAAAATGAAATGATAATGTTATAAACTTAGAAGGTTCTTAATAAATGTGTTGAAGGATTATAAGCTAAATGATTATGATTCTTTGATGTAACCGTGGAGATTGTGTAACATCCTGGTGTTGTATTTTAGGCAGATGTGGACAAGGCTGTGAAAGCTGCTCAAGAAGCATTCAGGTTTGGCTCACCGTGGAGACGTATGAATGCATCGGATAGAGGAATATTGCTGAATCGGTTGGCTGACTTGATAGAAAGAGATCGCATTCACTTGGCTGTAAGTAACACAGATTTTCATCTTGTGTTTACTTTTGATGAACTAAGAATGAGAGGAGTTTGTGGAAGATGAACTGGGAGGGGGATACTTGTCATCCTTCATTGAATCGTCCAGTGTAGAGGGTATATACTAAACATCCCAATGAATTTTACTAGCTTTTAGGATGGATTTCTACAAGATAAATCCAAGGGAATTTTACAGAAAAGTACAAGAGAATCAAAGTTTTCTAGAATTTGAAAAAAAAAAAAAGGAAGCAAGCTTATAATTATAATCATCAATATTGTCAGTGAAAGTATGGTGAAATAGCTATATTAGTTAAATACAACTGGCTTATCAATTATCTACAGAGTTGTTGTTTCATCATTCTGCCTTTGTACTCTATTAGTTGTAGATAATTCAGACTTACGAGTAACAGTTTACAAATGTATAAAATTATTTTAATACGTCTTTAACAAGCATTTATGGTGAGCTACAATTAAAAAAACACAAAATTTGGTGGTGGTTTTTTCTACAGTGGAGGTAATAACTGTACTTTGTTCCCCAGAGTCTTGAAACCTTGGATAATGGAAAACCATACAGTGACGCATATAATGTTGATCTCAGTTTGGTCATCAAGTGTATAAGGTAAAATCTGGGTTTTGAATAATTGGCAGTTTATTGTATTCAATCATTAAATATTTTAGTTTAGAATAAGTTGCATCTTAGTTGGTATATAGCAAAGTTTTTGTGAATTATTAAAATTATGAATTTAATGTTTTTGATAGCCAATATTCCATGCTAATTATGCTTATCATTGTAGGTCTTAGTTCATTCTTATTGTTATGAAATGCATTTAGCCTATTTTAAGTTTTTCATATTTTAAACTTGCAGCCTTTCATTGTGTGTCTGTATGTGTGTATATAAACACATTATTTGTGTACTATAAAATGTTGTGTATGTATATAGATGTAAACTCTGGGTTTTATTATGAAATGGTTTAGTTAAATATTACTATCAATATTAAACTAAAAAATGTGTATCAATTAGTATGTGCTTAGTTAAATTTACTTCAGGCTTGGTTATACCTATATTTTCTAATGTCAAATTTTGAATTACAAGTTTATTTCAGACTAGCTGGACTACCCCTCCTCTGGATGGAAGTTATATAAATTCATGATTAATGAAAGGTTATCTTAGGACATGAAAAGTTGCTTCCCTTATGTAATTGTAAAAAATGCAAACATGCCCATAAAAACACAAAACGTGAAACTACAAATTTGTATGTATCTCCCCGTGGACCCAGTGAACCTCGATACCAAATTTGGTGAAGATCCATTAATAGGGAGAAAGTAGTGGTAAAAAAAAGCAAAAATGTCCATTAAAACCTCAATATGCAAAACTAAAGATTTGTATGTATCTCCCCATGGACCCAATGAAACTCCATACCAAATTTGATGAAGATCCATCTAAAGGAGGTGAGGTAGTGGTAAAAAAAAAACACTCATAAAAATCACAAAATGCAAAACTAAAAATTTGTATATACCCCTACATGAACCTCCGTACCAATTTTGGTAAATATCCATCTACATTGTAAAAAGTAGTTACATGGACATACATCAGACTGTACTATTATATTTAGATAGATTATAGAAGGTCATGAGTGTAAGTTTCAAGAATGTAATTGTTCTGAGAATATTTGTTGAACTTTAAATATGTGTTTATAATATTTTATGTCTGTAATCTGGAAAATTTAGTAATTATTGTTTGCCAATTGGGCAGGTACAGTATCCGATAATCAAATACTGAATGAACGATCAAGAATCTTTTAGTCCTGAATATATAATAGTGTTTGTAGAATTAAAGGTTGTCTGTGAAAAGTAGCTCTTTTGAATGGTATACATGTAACTTGTTTTGTAAGTCAAAACTAAAAAAACTTGTGCTATTATTGTTAAAAAATCTTCCAGTTAGTTTTAACATAAGCACAAACACAGTTTTTACTCGTATATTTGCTGTTTTTATTATAGAAACAATGCAATGGGTAATTTACAACATAAAACCTTTTACATCATTCACAGATTTATAATGCACAAGTTTTTATTACCCCAAAATGATAAAACACGAGCTTCCAAAAACAACAAACTACCAGAAAAGGTAAACTGTAAATCCATTGATGACATTTTAGTGCATGTAGTGCAACTTTTAAAGTAACAGTCTTAATGAAATCTTGTTTCACCTGTAAGTTACTACTGTTTACTTTATGTATAGGGTGACCATATTTCTACACCCGAAAAACCAAGACAGCCCAGCCCTTGCCTCTAATCTTAAAATGGTCCACGATCGTGCAATTCATGCACTATCAAAAACACAGAACATTTCTTGGGACATTTGGATAAACTACCAAAAAATGGGACTGTCCTGGTAAAATCAAGACATCTGGTCACCCTATTTATGAATCTCTTTTAATTTGTTCTTGAAGTGTTCTCAGAGTAATTCTTTGAATGGACAATACTATCACTGGTCGCCCATTTTTCTATTTCCAGGTATTATGCTGGATGGGCAGATAAAGTTCATGGAAAAACAATACCAATTGATGGAAATTTCTTCAGCTACACACGCCATGAACCCGTAGGTGTTTGTGGACAAATAATTCCTGTAAGTTTTTAGTAAATCGAATCTTCTTTGTTGTATAAAGTACCTGGAACTCTTCAAAGATTATTTCAAAGTTTAGTTACATATGTTTAAGATGGTAGGAGTGATCATGTACACTCGTTAGTGTAAACTTCTTCATAACAAATAATGCTCAATATTCATTGACCTTCAGCACCTGTATGTTTGTATAATTCTTTTTTTAACTACCAGCTACAATGAGGACTCCAAATGTGAACATTCTTATCTCAAATTAAAAACACTTTTGTCAGCAGAATTTATCTAACAATGTATACTTTCTGATTAGCAGGTATGCCAGTCAGATTGAGTTTTGTACAATCACTTCAATGATGCTTATATGTATTCAACAATCAAACAAAAAAAAAGGTTTTTTAGTTTGCTTCTTAGCTGATACTTGAATGAATTAAATGCCAATCATATTGAGTTGTGTACAATCACTTCAATGATGCTTATATGTATTCAAAAATCAAACAAAAAAAAAAAAAAAGGTTTTTTAGTTTGCTTCTTAGCTGATACTTGAATGAATTAAATTTATAATTCTGGCTTTTTAGTTTATAGGTACACAATTGGCTACCTGTACTCTGGCTATCACAGGGAATCAAACCCCATATTTTAGCATTGTAAGACTGGAAACTTGCTACTGATTCATCAGGGGACTATTTTTAAAGTAATCGGAAGTTGATGTATGATCTTTGAAAAAGGACATTCTTAGGACAAGATAGTGGTTTCTTGCCATTCTTTAGAAGATATATTGAAGCCTTGTTGTCGTAATCTTTAAACATATAATGATGATTGTAACTGAAGTACCTGTTGGGTCCATTTTAGACCCACTTTGTCTTTCCCACGTATATTACTGTTGATATTATTCTTGAAAATAGAAATGGGCTGTTTGTGAAGAATTAAATCTTTTAATCAACACATTGCAGTGATTCATGGTAATTGAGTCAGGGACCCATTTGAATAGATTTCTGTGATTCTCCCAATCAACAGAATAATTTAAGCTTATAATACAATTCAGGAACTCTTGAATCTGGTACAATAATCATTTTTGAATTTTCAACTCAAATCTACACACGTTAATCCACACCATAATAGTAACAAACAATAATTATTATGATTGTCATCATTATTATTGTTACTACTACCTCGCTACAACAATTATACATGACCATTGTGGTGTTTAAACATTGTACTTTTTTATTCATATTTATTGGTTACAGCTATTAGTTTTTTTGTAACATTGTTAAACTGTTGGCTAAATTATGTAAAATAGTTCTTATTCTGTTGTTTTCTCCAGGAGTTTTACTAAAATGTGGCCATTTATCAACCTATATTTTACAGAACTATGGAGACAACCAGCTTTAGATTGTATATTTACTCGTTTATCATTCATATAACCCTTTTTTAACCAAGTGCTTCAGTCCAGATGTGATCAAACAAAGGAATCTTTTGAATCGATTCTGAAACCAAACTGAATCAAATCAATCAAACTGTCCGTTAATGTTTGTTGACTGGTTACACGTGTACTATTAAAATACTAAGTGTGTATAACTATCATATACTTGTGTTTCAAATGCTTTTTTTTCTTCTTTAGTGGAACTTTCCTCTTCTTATGCAAGCATGGAAACTAGGTCCAGCTTTGGCCACTGGAAATACCATTGTCATGAAGCCAGCTGAACAGACACCCTTGACTGCTCTCCATGTTGCAGAATTGATTAAAGAAGCAGGGTTTCCTCCTGGTGTAGTGAACATTGTACCTGGCTATGGACCTACAGCTGGAGCTGCTATTGCTTTTCACCCTGGTGTGGATAAAGTGGCCTTCACTGGTTCTACGGAGGTTTGTTTACTTCTCAGGGAACCCTTATTAGTCTTTCTTTTACTTGTCGGCAAAAATCTCTCATTCTTTGTTTTGTTTTAGTTCATGAGGTTACAAGTTATTTCATTAACTTCAATAATTTTCAGATATTTATCGCCCCCAGTGACACAGCTGTATGTCTGCGGACTTACAACGCTAGTACCCGGGTTTCAATACCCGTGGTGGGCAGAGCACAGATAGCCCATTGTGTAGCTTTGTGCTTAAGTTCAAAACAAACAAATATTTATTATTTTAACTCTTAAATTGTTTTGTGTTTTAACAAATTAAAAACTTTTCTAAGACTTGTGAAAAGGTTTTAACTGCATTCCATATAATAAATTTAAAACTTTAAAATGTGAAGTTTCCTGAAAGTTACTTTAAACACCAAACCTTGTTCTCAATAACTGTTCATGAAACCAAAGCTAAAAAGACGATAAAAATGGATTAATTTGCTAAATCTGAACATTAAATTACATTTGTGGTTTTTACATAAATAATTAATATTTTTCAAGTGTTCCAAGATTTGTAAAAGTTATATTAATAATTTTTTGTTCCAAGATTGGAAAGATTGTTATGCAAGCTGCTGCACAAACAAACCTGAAGCGAGTTACCTTAGAACTTGGAGGAAAGAGTCCAAACATTGTGTTTAAGGATGCTGATTGTAAGTTACCATTCATAAATGTAGTGATAATTAGTTCCAGTACTTGTAAAGCATCTTTATAGCAATATTACAAGAGTAGGAAACCATCCAAAGAAAGTATATTGTAAAATAGTAGATTTCGAAATAAACTTGAGACATCTTACTTTGATGTCCACTATTTTACACTTTCTTCAGGTGGTTCTCTTTATGATATAACCGACTCTGTTATTTACCACCTTGAAATTGGAAGTCATGTTTATGAGCATGCACACAAGAATTGCATGTACCAACCAAGTCGGGGTCGTGAAGTGATAGGAACATTTAAACTGGATTGATACAACTTTCTGTATTCCATCATTTGCAATGTGTTTATTTAGACAATAATATTTCAAAATCTTAATATAAAAATGTAATAATACCAGGTATTTCCATAACAATGTGAGAATGAACGTAAGATAGAAATTGAATAGGCTTTTTTTAAGAAGAGCGAATGTAGTCATTATGGGAAATTTTTTAGAATTAGAATAATGTTAAATTAGCCTTCCTCTCTGTTAAGCTAGCATGTTTTAGGTTTAGGCTTGAGAACATTACTGTAAAAGACAAAAAAATGAACAAAGTTTGTCTGTAGTTCCAAAATATTTTATGTCACCCTGATTGTGGTTATGTACTTGTAACATCTAACAACAAATCTCTGAGTCAACACAGTGCAAATTATTTGATTTCTGGGAGATGTATATACAATATTTCTTAAATGTCTTGCAAATTTTATGGAATATGTATACTGCTGCATAAGGAATCCATTGATGGTCGTCAACCCAAGACAGGAAAGAACTGGAGGATATACAATGATTCTGTTTATTTGTTTTTTGGTAGATGAGGGAATTTTTTATTAAACCTTTCATGAGTGTATGGTGTTATTTTAATACCATAACTATAGAAACATGGATGTGATCGTGATGGAATACCATTTACAGAGAAAGCAAGGCATAAAATAGGCCATAAAAAAAAAGAAAACAAAAACTTCCATCGGAACTAATAAAAATGCCAGATAGCTGAAGAGGAGCAGGTCTAACAATTGACTGGGTGTGTTTACAAAATTATTAGAAGGCATGGAAAACCATGAGTGTGACCAGAGCAGAAAGACTGGTTACTTTTGGGGAGATAGAAAATCATTATGATTCTCTCCATCCATAGAGAACACTACAGATCCTTAAATTTTATTCCAATTCTTTGGATCTCATGTGGACCCTACCTTAATACTTAAAAGTACACATTTGGTGCAGTTAACTTGGAGATTCATTGTTAAGTGCACTTATTATCAATGAAAAATTTCAGTAAATATTATGGATTAATAGCCTCTCCTCACTTGTTCTCAGTCCAATAGAGTTAAAAGTTTAATATTTCTCCGTGTTTTTATATATATATTCTGAATCTGTTTGTGAATACTTGTTTTTCTACAGTGGACTATGCTATTAACACCTCCCACTTTGGCCTATTCTTCAATCAAGGACAGTGTTGCTGTGCGGGTACACGAATTTTTGTGGAGAAAGACATTTACAATGAGTTTGTTGAAAGAAGTGTAGAGAAGGCAAAAAGCCGAAAAATTGGAAATCCATTTGATTCCGAGACACAGCAGGGACCTCAGGTGATTTTTTTTTTTTAACTGGATCTGATGATAATTCTAATATTAATATGATATCAATTTATAGCTTAAGATTAGTCTTAAGATTTCCCTAATGATGCAAAAGAAGTGACTTGTACGTTAAAAGTCCAGGAATCACGCAAGTCCGACTAATGAAAACAAGTAATTTTTTTTTCTTGTATTTTTTACGAATTACACGTACAATAAAATTGTACCAAACAGTGTTCTTAGTAAGGTAAAATAAGAATATCAAGCAACACAATATTAGATGCAGAATAAATAAAGTTAGTTCGGTATATGTTTTACGAGTAAATTTTGATATATGGTTTGTTTACTGTTGTAGTTTTCATGAAAGTATATTTGTCAGTTATTTTAATGCTCTCTATGAAACAATATAAAATAATAAATTTGTAATTTGAGCAGCGCTTTTTATCATTTAAAACATCGGTGTCCGACACGGTCACCACTTGCCACACATGGCAAATCGGCTATTGACCTGTGGCGAATTGATGCTTTTTTTCTATCACCTATTTTTTTAAATATAATTTTTCATAAAATTCATTTATATATGTACCAGCTTAAAAAAGTATCCACTTTTTTATTTATTTTAATGATAAAATACTCAAGAAACCTCATTTTTCTGCGGTAAAAAATAAAAATATAGGTCGTAGATATTGGACGATGCTCAGATGTTGTCTAACTGGTTTTATGCCTGATTTCCCTGCACTACTTAATCAAAAGATGTGTCAGATTTCTCATTAATTCTATCAATAAATAATTTAAAACTATTGTGTATTTTTCTGTAAAAACACAATTAATTTTTTTTGTCATGTGGTGAAAATGTTAATACATTCTCCACAATTTTGGTGATAATGAAAGAACTGTTGGACACTGCAGATATAAAAT